CGGGCTCCCGCCGCGGGTGCGCGCGTCGTGGCCGGAAAAAAGAAGAAGAAGAAGAAGAAGAAAAAGAAGAAGAAGACAAAACATAATAATAAGAGAAATAAGAAGAAGAAGATGAAGAAGAAGAAGAAGAAGAAGAAACATAAGAAGAAGAAGAAGAGGAGGAAGAGGCGCGCGCACAGCTTGAGCAGGCAGTCTTATTTACAAGCTGTGCCGCCCCGAGCATCCATAAGCCCTCCCCCGAGCGTGAGGTCTTTCCGCCACGGGGAGATCTGCAGCGAGAGATCCTCGTCCTCCTCCCGCGCCCCAACGTCGTAAAGCCCCCAGAAATCCCTGTGCGCCACCCTCCCTCCTGACGGCGGTGGTGGCGACGACCGCGAGGCCACGACGGCTCATCTCGAGGCCCCAAAAACATCCCCAACTTTCAAGCCTCGACCCGACGACGAAGAGAGAGGAGGAGGAGAAGGAGGAGGAGGAGGAGGAGGAGGAGGAGGAGGAGGAGAAGAAGGAGGAGGGGGGAGGCGGGGGGAGGAGTAGGAGGAGTAGGAGGAGTAGGAGGAGAGTCAGAAATCGGAAGCAGAAGCAGGAGCAAGAACCGGAGCATGAGCAGGCGGTGGAAGAGGAGGAGAGGGAGGAGGAGGAGGAGGCGTAGGAGGAGGAGGAGGAGGAGGAGGAGGAGGAGGAGGAGGAGGAGGAGGAGGAGAAGAATGCAGGGGGAGGAGGATGGTGATGATGAGGAGGAGGAGGACGAGCAGGAGGAGAGGAGGAGGAAGAGGAGGAAGAAGACGAGCATAAGGAGGACGAGCACGACGACGACGACGACGACGACGACGACGACGACGACGACGGCGGCGGCGGCGGCGGCGGCGGCGGCGGCGGCGATGGCGGCGACGACGTCGAGGACGATGGCGACGTCGGGCGAGCGCCGCGCGGCGCAGAGGTGAACGCCCTGGCGTCGACCGGCGACGACACCGTGGAGTTCATCGACGGCGCGGGCCTCCTCGGCCCTCCTCGCCCGCTCAGAGGGGGGGGGGGCGGGGCACCGCCCCCTCTGTCACGGAGGGGGCGGCGGTCCGAGGAGCCGCCTCCTCACTTCGCGTCTCGTGCGGGTGCGGCCGGACCGAGGCAGAGGATCGAGGGGGTTCGGGGTCGAGGTTTTCCCCTCCTTCCTCCTCCCTCCTCCTCCTCTGGAGGAGGAGGAGGAGGAGGAGGAGGAGGAGGAGGAGGAGGAGGAGGAGGAGGAGGAGGGGGAGGAGGAGGAGGAGGAGGAGGAGGATTGGGGAGAGAGGAGGAGGGAGGAGGGAGGAGGGGCGTCTCGATCCCGAGCCCCCTGGCGGCGTTCCGCCCTCGGAATACGTTGCAGCGGCTGCGCCTCTCCGAGAGCGTGCTGGGGTTGCGCGGATCGTCCCGAACGGCCACTAGAGAGCCGAATTAGGACCCCAAAACCGTCTTCGGCGGCGCGCCCCAGGAGTAAGGTCGGGCCGGGGAATAAGATCGAGGTCGGTTCGGGGAGGGTACTCTGATGCTCCTCGTGCTTGTTGGATGTTCTTGTGCATCCTTGGGGAGGGTACCCTCCTCGTCTTCTTCTTCCCCCTCGTCCTCTCTCCACCCCTCTGGGGCATCTCCCTAATCATCTCGCGTCCCTGCCCAGGCTTTGTGTTTTCCCCTCCCTCTCTCTCTCTCTCTCTGGTTTTTGGCGGGGGCGGCGGGGCCGGACAGATGGTAATTCGGACACGCTCGGTGGAAGCATCTTGGAGGACACCCTCGAGTGATCCTTGTGGTTTGGAGTGTTTTGGCTGGCGGAGGGTTTCATGTTCTTGAAGGATGTTCGTCTGTCCCAGGTCGGACTGTGATGTCGTTGGCCGTTTGGGGCGCTGTGGGGCCTGCGGATGCGGCACGCTGCCAGGATGGAGTCCGAGCAGCGCTCCGCAGTGGCGCCCCGAGCACCGCTCCGAGCAGCCCCGCCCCACCACACCTGGGAGCCCGCGCCCGCGTCGGCCCTCCGAGCCGCCCTCCTCGGCTGCCCCTGAGATCCTGGCGTTGACAACGGGCGGGTGTCCCCCTCTTGAGGCCGCGCTTCATGAGCACGCCCGTGTCGTGTCGGCCCTTCGAGCCGCCCTCCTCGGCTTCCCCTGGGGGGGAGTGAGAAGGGGGGGGGCCTTCTCAGAAGGCTTGGAAGTCCCCCTGGCCTTGCTGAGAAGTTTTCGAAGCCTTCCACGAAGGCGCAGGAGACCTCTCAGAAGGCCAGAGGCCTTCAGAGAAGTCCCGCCGCCTTCTGAGAAGGCCTTCTCCTTCTCGTTTCCCCCCCTCGCTCGCCGCCGACCTGAGATCTTTGCGTTGACAGCGGGCGGGCTTCCCCCTTTCAGGCTAAAGTTCACTCTGCATGAGCTTACTTATTGCGGGTCGGCTCGCGTCGGGATATCGGCCTGCTCGACGACGTGTCGATGCGCACAGCGGTGAACACGTCGGGGGCCCACACCGCGTGTTGAGTCAGTGGGGATTCGGGGCCTCCGAGGACGTCTCGTGCGGCCAGGGCCTCTGAGGTCCCAAAACCGTGCCGTGGCGGCATGGCGTGTCGCGCTGGGGCCGCCGCGGCGACACGATAATCACAACTTCTCGATCGTAAGGGAAACACGGTCCGAGCAGAGCAAGACGCACCACGACCACGGTGACGCCGACGACGACGACGACGACGACGACGACGGAGACGAGGCGCGCAGACGATCCGCAGCGAAGCACGGATTAGGCAACAGGGCTCAATCTTCAGGTTCGGTGAAACAGAATTTTGAGCAGTGCTGCAGCCTCCCCTGAGCACATGCCCCCCAGAGCATCAGCTAGACAAATCGGGTTGAAGAAATGAAACAACCACCCTGACCCCCACGATTGACTTTACTAAGCAGCCCTAAGCCTTTACCAAACAGTCCTGTCATGTTTGCTTCCTTCCTTGGGTGCGTTTACTAAATAGAGCTTGGTTTCATTCCCTGGCGATAACGGGCGTGACCGGAGGGGGGAGGGGGCCGGTCACGTCACGATTCGCGCCGGCGCCGTCTGGGCATGCCTGAGAGTCGCTCATTCCCAGACGGCGCCAGCGTGAATCGTAACGTGACCAAGTCCAAGGGGGGGGAGGACTCGGTCGATTCAGGGCCTTATCGCGAATAAAGAAATAATGGCTCGCAAACCACCCCGACCTTCATGAGTGACGCTTGCCAAGCAGCCCTGGGCTGTTTCAACAGATCTGTTCTGTTCGATTCCTTCCTGTAGGCGCGGCTACCGAAAGCTAAAGCTTCTCTTGCAGAGGTGCTTGTTATGAGGGTGGATCTTCTGCTCTGTATAAGGATGAGGATGGGGCGGCGAGGAAAGAAACACGCTGACTATGACCATGAGTCGAGAGCGGATCAGCGGCATACGCATAAACTTTCGGAGGCACGGATTGCTTGGATCAGCGCGGTGCCCACCTCCTTGGCGCGTGGGGGGAGGGTGGGCAGCCTCAGGCCACGGGCCCTGTTCGCTGAAAGCTAGGACTTCGTGGGCAACATCTGAAAGCTGGGACTTCGCGGGCTGCGTCTGAGCATGAAACTTCGAAGGTCTGCGCACATTTCCTGGGTCGGCGCTGGACCCCCCTTGGCGGCACCTCCAGAGCCGCCCCTGTCGCGCTGCGCGCGCCAGGGAGGTGGGTCCGCCGATGTAAGACATCAACGCGGACCTCAGAGAATGGAGGAGGAGGAGGAGGAGGAGGAGTCGCGACAGCTTCAGCCAGTTGTGCTCGTCTGCCCTGTCAAGCCGCCACACCCATGGGTTTCCTCGCAGGCTGCGTGGGCTGCTCCTCGTTATTTGATGGCTGTCCTGTGCTCACGGTAGGGTTACACATCGCCTTCGTGTCGCGCCAAGCGTCATGTTCGTGTATTCTTCCTGTCTACTCCTTGTATCGCGGCTGTGTTACGAAAAAAGGCTAAATGGGGCGCTTCACACTTCACCTTCGCGCCTACAATATTTCGTTTGAGATCAAAATACTTTTCTATTGGATTCATATTGCACTCTTTTTTGGGATTGTATTCGTCTTCCTGCTGAATATCTAGTGTATGTCCTAGTGCAGTGTGCTATAAGTGTATTCGTATTGTACGGTGCCGAGAGATTCCTAGTGTGCTCCTATTGTATCACCATTGTGTGTCCATTGCATCCTTGTTGTAATCCTAGTGCATTCCTATTGTAAGTAGAATGCGTTCGTAGTAGTTCCCGGTCGCATTCCTATTGTACCCCTATTGCTTTCATAGTATACACCTGTTGTTTTCCTTTTGTACTCCTTGTGTATTCCTATTGCTTTTCTTTTTATTCCCATCGGATTCCTATCGTATTCCTTTCGTGCTTCTGGTGTGTCCCTGTTATGTTCCCACTGCTTTTGTAGTGTATTCCGATTGTAGTCAGGTTGGCTTCCCAGTGTAGTCTTGTCTTTCGATTGCATTCCTACTGTATCCCTATTGTCTTCCTATATAATGTATTCATTGTAGTCCTATTGTCATCCTATTGTATTATTGTATTCCTACGGTATACCTATTGTATGCCGATTGTCGTGCATTTTTCTTGTATTGCAAGCCGAACCCGAACCCTAACCCAACACTTACCCTTGGCCTTTATTCATTCCCAGTGGAGACGAGGGTGACGTGTAACCCTCGCAGTACTGTGCTCCTTGGCACTGCGCCCCCCGGCCATCGTGCGAATACAACACGATTTCCGCGGGCGCCGCGCTCAGCGCGCACCGCTTCCTGCCCCCCGACATCGGATGTGCAGGGCGTCGTCGTCGCAGCGCGCTCTTGCGCCGAAGTGGCCAAGGATCCTCCGCCTGCCTCCGTCCACTGCTCCCTCCTCCTCCTCCTCCTCCTCCTTCTCCTCCTCCTCGCCGCTGAGGCGGCAGGCGGACTTCGTCCGCCCTACCCCACACCACACCACACCTCCTCCTCCTCCTCCTCCTCTCCTGCTCCTCCTCCTCCCTCGTCTCCCTCCTCCGTAGCCATTTTGGCTCAAGCCGCATGCCAGGTCGGGGCCCCAGACGCGCTCCTCTCCCCGCTGCATGTCCATGGCTGCTGGCGCTGCGCCGGTGGCGTGCATGTTCATCGGCCGAGATGGCTCACCAGCGTTCGTCGACGGCTCGCGCAGCGCGTGCTCGGCGTGCTCGCCGCCGGGGCTTTCTGCATGTTCCTCCTCTTGGCCATCGATTCATCGCTGTGCCTTCTGCTCTTCATGCGAATGGTAAATGCATGCGTCGAGGAATTGCTCTGCACGCTCGTCTTCAGTCTGAGAGCGTTTTTCGTTCTCACAGGTTTCGTCACGCTGCTCTTCTTGCACGCGATCGAGTGGGACCTGATGCGACGGCTGCTCATCTTCGTGTTCACGTTCAGGCTTGCAGGGCAAAGCACCGCGTGCCCTCGGTGCCGACAGAAGCGGCCGTCGTCCGGCCAGCTGTGGTGCGCACCGCGTCGGTGCTGCAGGATCTTCTCCCTCAGCGTGGCTCTCTTCCTGTTGCACCCGTGTTTTTTTTGTACGGATAATACTGTACAGAAGGTGCAGCTTTCATTTCTTCTATTGCTGGTGGTACAGTCCTCGGTGCTGATGGAGACAACGAGCGGCGTGACCGTACGGGTCCTCAAGTTGTCGGCGTCCTCTCGCCGCCGCGCATGAAGTCTCACTTGGCTGATCGTCGCGTTTGTCAACATTCGGCTGCTGTGCCTGCTGCAGCTGGTCTTCCTGTAGGTGAGGGTGCTGGATCTGGAGATCATGTTCTGCGTCATCGTGAGCAGTGTGGCCATCGCCCAGCGCTAACTGTTGAAGCTGCTGATTCTCGTGATGATGCTCAAGCTTCGTCTTCGTCGTTGCCTTGTGTAGCTACTGATCCTTCCTGAACTGTGCATGTTACTCTTTGTACCGCGATGCCTGGGGTGGCTGCTGATTCCAACTGTGGTGCACTTGTTCCTCATCGTGACCTGGTTGATCGTTGTGTTCGTCAACATGCGGCTGGTCTTCCTGAAGGTGTGGGCACTGGATCTGGAGTTCTTGCTCAAGCTTCGTCTTCCTCGCTGCCTGGTGCGGCTACTGATATTCCCTGTGTTGTGCATGCTCCTCTTCGTGAGTTGGCTGATCGACGTGCTCATCTTCCTGATGCGTCCTGCACGCTGGTTATGGGTGTGTACAACGTTTGCCTCCCCCTGGCGTGGCAGATGGTGCTCACGTCGAGGATGTAGCGGCTGCTGGTCTTCATGCTGGCCGTGCCCTTCCTCAGGATGTCGGCGATTATGTTAAGCAGTTGGTGGCCGTCAGTCTGTGCGAGCAGTTTGACACGCTCCGCGACGCGACCCCTGGGCTCATCAAGGTTTCCCTTGACACGGTGGTGTGTTTTTTTCCAACAAGCGGGTGCTGTCCTCCCTGGACAACCTGCGGCGATGGCGGCAGCTGGAAGAGGCAATTCCCGCTGTTCGTGATGAGCGCCGTGCTGATGATCCGCCTGAAGCTCGTGGTGTTCCTCTTGACCGTGCCGCTGGGCGTGGCGCATGTCGTACGGGTGTCCCCGATGGTCGTGATGATTGTTCCGCTGCCGCTGCTGGTGGCGCGCGGCGCAGGTCGTTGCTCAGTTTCGGCGTTGGTAATTGAGGGCCGCTCTGACTGTGAGAACGTGCTGCCTCACCCCGGTGGACGTGATGAGCTTCGGCATGATGAACTATTTGCTCAACAGCGCCCACTGCGCTCCGAACAGCGTGTGCTCGACTTCATGCGACCGATCATGCGCAAGATGGGCGAGCAGATTCACCTTCTTCAAGATCCATTCCGTGAACTTCGGCGCGCTGGCACGCGTGGTCATCCTGTTCCTGCTGCTGGTCATCCTGATCGTGCCGATATGTTTCCTGGCGGTGCGGGTGGTTCTGGCGGGTTGCGGGCCTCCCTCGACCGATCGCAGGCTGTTGCACACTTGGCCGCTGCTGCGAGTGGCGCTGCTCCGCCTTGTCCTGGTGCTCGTGCTGCGGATGAGCCCCAAGATGATGTGCATGTTGGCGCCGTCTGTGCCGGAGTGGCCGCTGCTGAGCGTGATGTCTCTCTTCGACTTCTTGGTGGTGGTGTTCGCGATTCAATGCGACATCGTGTTCCAGAATTCGGCTGGTCGATACCAGGTGCTCCATGTCTTCGACGTGCAGAGTTTCTACCACTCCATTACTGCAACACGGCGCTTGCTAATATGACGGATTCTCTCGCCCGCAACGCGGCTGCACTACAGAGATCTTCAATGTGTACTTCAGCTATTTCTGATTTCTTCAACGACATCTCCGGGTGGGCGGTCTGCCCATCGAGCCCTTCTTCTCCGAGGGCTCCGTCGTCTGCTCCGTCATTGTGCGATGCCGACGTTCTGCTGCCTACGGCTGGGTGCTCCGCTGGCCGTGTCCGAGGCGCCCCGCCCGCCGCCGCGGCAGTCGGGTGCGGACCCGCGCTCCTCTTACGCTCGACTCCTCTGCCTCCCTCCCCCCTTCCCCCTCCCCCTCGGGCTCCACGGAGGGCGGATCCCAAAGCAGGGTTACATCGCGTCAGCGCTGCGATTGTAGATGCGCCAGCAGGGGATTTCTCATCTCGACCTTTTAATTTCCACCTGGCTCCTGGTGTCTACTGCTCTCGCCCCCCGCCCCTGCTCCACCGCGTCCCGCTCGCGCCCCGCGCGCCTGCTCCGCCGCATTCCGCTCCCCGCCCCCGCCCGCGTCCCGAGCTCTGCCCATTCCCCTGGCCCGCGGAGAGGAGCGACACGCGACCCGTCTGCAAGGCATAGCGTGTCGCTGGGGCCGCCGCCGCGACACGCCAAGCCACAGTTCCCGCCCCTGCTGCTCACACCCCCACTCCCGTTCCACCGCACCCCGCTCCCCTCCGCCGCAGCGGCCACTCCCTCCTCTGCCCGAGAGTCGCGCTCGAGCCCTGCGCTGCCCCCAGGGCTCCGCGGTGCCCACCCCCAGGCCAGTGCACGCCGCGGCCGCGCCGCGCAACGCGGTGGCGGCGGGGGCCCCCGCGGCACGGTGGCGGCGGGCATGCCGGCGGCGGCGCCGCCCGCGCGCCGCGCCGCGGCGCGGTCGCTGGGGCCCGCCGCGCTTCCGCGCGCCGCGCCCGGCCGCCCGTGCGCGCCGCCGCGGGACGCCTCCGCGCTGCCTCCGCGCTGCGGCAGCTCGCGCGTGGAGGGCGCCCGCCCCCGCGCGGCCGCGGCGCTGCCGGCCGCCGCGCTGGCGCTCGGCGGCGCCGCCTCCGCGCGGCGGCCGGCGGCGGCGCGGCGCGGGCGGAGGCGGGTGGCGACGGCCGCGGCGGCCCGGGCCCGTGGCGGCGTGGAGGCTCGATGACCATCCTTCTCAGATCGCGTGTTAGCACCACCGTCCCTTCCGCGGCCGCCTCTTTCTTTTCCTTCCTCTCGCATGCGGGCTGATTTGCAACGCCGTTTCCCGGCCCAGCGCGCGTGTGGACTGACTCTGCCGTGCTGCGACGTAAAAAAGTGTTAGCGCCAACGTGTGCTTGCCTACCACAGTCCTTTAGTGCGACGCAGGCAGTGGGTCCCAGACCCCCTCGAATCATTGAAAACTCTCGACGGAAGGGGTTCCGCTGTTTTGGATTTCTGTACGGGGCCTCGGGACCATGAAGAACGACCCGGGATAAGAAACTGGAGTGGGTTGAGACCCTTGGGGGTCGACGATACAGAAGCACCATGACGTCGGGGATCTGGGCTAAGGGTGCCGACACGGGCTGCGCGCTAGCAGCGGAGCCGAACAGGTGTCAGCATCGTTCAACCGACCCGCATCCCTGTCTCCATCCCAATCCCAACCATCCCACCACCACAGTTAGGGATTTTCCACTCGTAACCTGACGGGGACATCCTAAACCCCCAACTGGGGGGAGTAAATCGGCCAGTGGGGCCCAGGCCACGCTAGTGTGAATATGGACCGGTTAAACGACTTGGCATCGCTTGGATGTTGTTGTCCTGGCAAGGACCGTCGAGGAACATGTCGGGCCATCTTGCGAAGAGTACACCCACGAAACCGACACATTCATGGGTAATGGACGTCCGAGCCATGGCAAGACGGTGCTCAGCTCGGGCTGACACGCGCCCGGAGGACCCCCGAGAGGCCGGCGGCCCGGCGCGGGCGGCGCTGCTCCGAGGGCTGGCCGCCGCGCTCCCGGCGGGGCTGCTGCCGGAGGGCGCGCTGGGGCGGGCGGGGCAGGCCCGTCGGCGCAGCGGGTGTGTACAGTCGCCGGAGGTGGATAGACCTCCTACCATGACACGTCGATGAAGGAATTGGCCGTTTTCGGCTGGCGAGAGGGCGTCGCGGCCGTCAATTTGCGGGTCCAGGTCCGTCGGTTTCGGTCCCAGGCCGTTCTCACTAAGGGGAGGTCTGCTAAAGGGAGGTTTGTCCACCGCCGAAGTCGAGCAGCTGTTCAGGAAACCTCCTCCTGCAGAGCTGGGTCAGCGTGCCTCGACCAACGTGCTAGCGAGCTGGTCCAGTGCCTTGAGCACGCTCGCCGAGCCAGCGTGCACAACAGAAACTGGCCCGGGCATGCTTCAAGAAGCTTCCGGGAAGCTGGCCCACTTCAGGCGACGATAGGGGCGAATAGCCCAGGGGCGGGCATTATACGCTTTCGCCTGGGAGCATCGCTGAAGGCATGGACTATCGGCGCCCTTAGGATACATTGCTCTCCCCTGGGCTATTCTGCCCCCATCGTCGCCCCCGAGTGTAGTGGTACGTTGGTGGAGCTGCTGCGGTCAGGAACCTTGGTAGGTGGGGAGTTTGGGATTTTCGGGTTTGGGGTTCCTGAGGCCTTCGGGGTGGTCGTCGGCCCTCGGCGGTTTGACAGCCTCGGGGTGCTCGCCAGCGGCTGCGCCTCGCCGAGAGGGTTCCCGGGATGCCTGGATTGTCCCGAACAGCCGCCGGAGAGCCGAGCTACGGATGACCCGAAACCCAGGCGGCTCCTGATCAGTCCGGCCTACGGTCAGGACTTTTGGCTCAGCGTGCAGTGCCGCCTGCTCTGGCCCATCGCGCTTTGGCGCGACACTCTGTCCGCGTCGCAGTTCCGAGGCGCCAACGTTCCGAGCCTTCCGAAGCCTCCCGCCCCGCGGACCGGAGCGACACGGGATCCGCTTGTAGGCGACACGCAATTCTCCGGGGCAGCCGTGGCGACACGTTAAGCAACAGTTCCCGACCGTAGCTACATCGGTGGGACTGTTATGTCCCTGAGATCCTGGCGATGCAGTTGTTTTACAATAGTGCGTTTTCACCCGCCCAGTTTCGAGCCCTGGGGCCGCGAGGTCCACACTGGACGTGTGAGCATTAGTCTCGTCTGTCTGTCCTCCTTCTCCTCCTCCTCCTCCTCCTCCTCCTCCTCCTCCTCCTCCTCCTCCTCCTCCTCCTCCTCCTCCTCCTCCCTCTTCCTCGTCCTCCTGTCCCCCTCCACCCGAGTCCCGGGCCACTGCAGGTTTTGGAATTCACGGTGCGTCCACGGTCGTTGGCCACGAATTGTGAATGTCAGAGCGTCATTGATATTCGGCATCTCTCGCAAGACAGATCGTCGATGTGGTTGGGCGCCATTTGAGGTAGCTCAGTGGCTTGACGTTTGCGTCGCCGAGTTTGTCATCGTGCTGCTGTGCCCGCTCCCCCTCCTCCCCTCCAAACTTGCGCGCGGAAGAAATTTCCGGGGTCCTGAGGACACCACGAGCCGATCCGGCTCGCAAAATGCAGCGGAGAGATGTGATCCGTGGATCCCGTCGTGATTGTCGACGATGTATCATCCCCCATATCTTCAGATAGTTTTTTGTGTTTGCTCATACCGCGCCGACTCTTTCTCCCTCCTCCTCAGCTTGCCTCCTTCTCGTCCTCCTCACACTCCCTCATCACGCTCAGACTCACTCGCACTCAGACTCGCTCATACTCAGACTCACTCACACTCAGACTCAAGCGCGTACTCATTCTCGAACCCACGCACACAGACTCACTCATATTCAGACTCACTCTACACCACTCAGACTCAATCGCACCACTTCCTCAATCAAACTCGTTCGTATGTCGAATCACTCACGCACACAGACTGTCAGGACGTCTCGTGCGAGGCGCAGGTTTCAGCACCCCAAGGGGGAACCGCCAGGAGGTATTGCACGGGCCCATTCGTTCCCAGATTGTGGGGATGTTTCAGGCGGTTTGCCTGACTGGGTGCTCAGCATCCTGTGCTTTCAGAGCAGAGTGGGAGGATGTCTCAGGCGAGGCGCTGGTTTCAGCACTCCAAGGGGGCGCCGCGAGGGGGTATTGCACGGGCCCGTTCGCGCCCAGCTTTTGGGATGTCTCGGGCGGCTTGTTGGTTTGGGTACGCAGCATCTTTTTGCTTTCAAAGCAAGTTGTCGGGACGTCTCAGGCGAGGCGCTGGTCTCAGCATCCCAAAGTGGAGCCGCGAGGGAGTATTTCACGAGCCCGTTCGCGCCCACATTGTGGGGATGGCTCAGGTGGTTTGCCCGTTTCGGCCCCCCAGACTTGTCTGTGGATTTGGTGATACCTAGACGCCTCCGGACCGCACTCACTACCCTCTTTTTCTTCACTCAGACGCAGACACACTCATCATATCCAGACCCAACCATAGTCAGACTCACTCGTACCCAGACTCGCTCACACTTTGACCCACTCACTTGCAGACTCGCTCACACAGGCTTACTCACACTCAGACTAATTCAAACCCGGGCTTCACTCAATTCACCCACAACTAGACTAACTGATGCTCAAACTTACCCGTATTCGGACTCCCTCATACTCAGACTCGTACTCATCGTACCCATATACAGACTCACTCACACTCAGATTTCCTCACACCCAGACACCCATCCTCAGACCCACCCACCCTCATATTCACACGTCGGCAGATCCACTCGTGGTCGGACCACGAAGACTCACACTCGCATTCATCCACGATTTCCCGTATCTGCTCACACTCAAACTCACCCACACAGACCCATCTTCGCTCATGCTCATTCAGATTCAGACTTACTCATACTCAGGCCCACTCGTACTAATACTCACATACCTAGACCCACTCACACACAAACTCAGCCATATTCGTATTCAGATTTATTCAGACTCGCTCACACTCAGATCACGTTCAGTTTAATTCCGTGTTTTGTTTTCGTTAGTTGGTCCAATGTTCCCTCGTTCTTCCACTTGTGCTTCCCTCGTTTCCCCTGAAGGAGGAGGAGGAGGAGGACGACGTCACTGAAGTTGTCGTGTTCGCCGTCGTCGCTGTCGCGCCCGTCGTCCATGTGGAATCGGTCTTACACCCAGATGCGCGCATGCAGAGTTCCTCAGCGAGACGAGACGGGAGCACGAGATGCGCATATTGACATCTCCGCGACGAGTATTGTTTCGCCTCGTCGGATCTCAAGGGTGGGCTGGGGGCCTCCGGGATTCCCAGGAGGCCCCCAGTGCAAACAAAAGGCCCACCATCGTGCTCGTTCTCAAAAAGCCCCAGACGGGGCACAGACGGGCTCAGACGGGGAAGCTCTGAATAGCGTCTGGGGGTTCGGAGGGTGGTCGCAACCGCCACCATGCCAAATCGATGTGCGGAATTGCGCGTGCTCGGTTCTAGAGAGGGTGTTGAGGCCGCAGTATTTTCGGGCCTGCGCTCGCTGGGTCTGTTCCTGGGTCATTGCCCGCTTTCATGTCCCCAGAAGGTGTTGTGCTGTAAAGGCTGTTGGTCACCCCCGAAGGTAACGTTCGGCTACGCGTGTGAGTGTTGCGCTGGAGTGACCTCTGGTGCGTGAGTTTCGGGGGGTGCCCAAAACAATCCCAAACACGCGGGTTGCCACTGTCGCGTGCGCGTGCGGCGTTGGGCAGGCCACGCACCACAGGTGACTCTTGCGCGGGGTCTCCCTTGCGTGTAGACGGGGGATCAGGGCACCTCGCATCCCCTTGCGTCGGAAGAAATCAAGTAAATTTGTTTATCTGTTTTCCTGGCGCGCTTTCCGGACCTATCTAGTAACGACTCCGGATGAAGACTGGCCTCAGGGAAGCCGTCGATGGAGCCCAGGGGCCCAGAGTTTGAACAATTCGAGTCGCCGGATGTCTGATCTACCCCTGGTGCTATCGAGGTTTGCAGCCCCAGTCATGCGATGTTCTGACTGTTTCAATACGGGATCCCTGGGGTGGTGGCATCGCATGAGAAACTGGCCTGCCAGCGCGCTGAAATTCATGCGCCTCCCGTGCCGGTTGCGAATAAATCAACGGGCGCCAATTGTGGCGCCGCACATGGCCGGTCCCGGATCCCAGCGGCGAAATCAAATTGTGTCGAAAGCTCGGGGGGGGGAGGCCCGCGTCGTGAAAAGAGACACCAGGCCTTTGCTTCGCCGCTGTCCCTGGAAGCTCGAAGTCTAGAGCAGGCGCATCAAGTAAGGACCCGGCCTGCCAGCATGGTGGTCCATGGAGAAGGGTTAGGAGGCTCCTTGACCTCCGACGTCATGCGTTGCGCAATACGTTACCTCAGGACGAGTCTTCCATCCTGCATAGCCTACCAATTGTGCGCGGAGCCCGGAGAGGACCTCCCAGAGGCCAAACTCGAGGAAGGACGTCCGGTGTGAGACAGATCAGGACGTCGGAAGTCTGGGCTGTGTGCGTATGGGCTGCAGGCCCGCAACGTCGGTCGCTTTCCACCGTGCTCTCAGACGTCCTCCGCTCCGCGGTCTGGAGATCCCGACCATGTTTGTTGGTCCTTCTGCCCGACGACGGACCCCAGAGGCCGAACTCAAGGGAAAACTGAACAGCACATCGCCAGAGATCTGGGCTGGGGGATGCCGTGGTCTGCGTTTGGAGGGAACGCGCCGATGTCGGCGGGATTCCAGACCCACGCGTTCCCCTCCCTGTCGCCTCGTCGGAGAGCGCCGCCGCCTCGAGCTCGTACTCGCGCCCGCTCGCGCACGTGGGTCGCCACGGGGGAGGGCCTCGCCTTCGCCGTGTCTCGCCTTCGGCGGAGGGCCGGCGGAAGGCCGGCAAAAAAGGCGGCGGAAGCAGACCTCGGCGGCGAGCCCAAGGGGGCAAGGCCGAGGGGGCGGGCCTCCTCAGAAGGCTCGGAGTGCCTGCGACCCTCGCACCAGTTCTCCAGGCCTTCTTCGAGGACAGAGGCGGCCTCTCAGAAGGTCGTCCTCTGTCTTCGAAGGAGGCTCGATTCCAACGGCGGAAAAGCGGCGCATGTCAGTGGAAGGAGCAGAGGCCTCCCCCGAGATCAACCCAGAAGGAAACCAAATTGCGTAAACATGAGAATTCGGAGCTCCGCGCGGACTTCTTGGATCGGCGCTGGAATCCCCTGTCGGCGCCTCCGGCGCCGCCCCTGGCGCGCTCGGGCAGGGCGGTCCGGGGCCGATCCAAGAAAGCTGCGCGGACCTCCGACAGTATTGGTTGAAAGTTTGTGGTTTGTTTTGCTCCTGCTCGGGGCAAATCACGACGGAAGTTCTTGGAGTCAATTCGGATCTCGGGGCCCTTACCGCGTACCGGGCCCCAGGACCGCCCAAAAACTGTTCGGGATGAAAAACCTTGGCGGAGCGCGCCAGGGATGTGGGTCCAGCGCGGATCCACGACATCCGCGCGGACCTCCGAAAGGTTGCGGTCGGGAACTTTTGGACAGCGAGCGTGTCGCCCCGGGGCTCTGGCCCCCCCACGCTTCTGAGCGACACGCTAGCCACGGCCGGGTCCCCGAACGTCAACGTTCCGAGCTTTGCCCAGGCTCCCGTCCCGCGGAGCGGAGCGACACGCTACCCGCTGGCAAAGCATAGCGTGTCGCCGGGACCGCTGCCGCGACCCCTTCAGCAAAAGTTCTTCGCCGTAAGTTTGTGCATGTGTTGCCTCTTCCACCAGGGGTTGACATGTTTGGGGGGCTCGGGGGGTGTCCGGAGCAAAGGGCTCATCGAGCGCCCGAGGCCGCCGCCGCCTCCGCCAGCCTGGCCGGGTGCAGCGCCGTGGTGACGGGGGCGAGCAGGGGCATCGGGAAGGTCGGCTACACGCAAGGGTGGCCCTTCGCCAGAGTGACCCTTGCTGTGGGGCCCAAAAGGATCACCCCCGCACTGGCGTCCCCGCTGCCCCAGAGAGCCGCGCACCAAAGGTCACTCCTGCCAAGGGTCACTCTTACGGGCATCGGGAAGGGCATCGCCGTTGCGCTCGGCGAGTGCGGCGCGAGCGTCTTCATCACCGGCAGGAGCCAGGCGCGGCTCCGAGATTCGGGCGCGCGGGCAACGTTAGGCGGGTATACGGTCGGGAATTTTTGGGCAGCATGTCGCTCCGCTGGTTCTGGCCAACCACGCTTCGGTGCGACACGCTGTCCACGTCCCAGTCCCCTGGCTTCAGCGTCCCGAGCCTTTCCGAGCCTCCCGCCCCTCGGAGCGGAGCGACACGCTATCCACTTGCAAGCCATCGCGTGTTGCCGGGGCCGCCGTGACACGCTGAGCAAAAGTTCCTGACCGTAGGCTCAGTGGTCGGGGGAAGGAGGTGCGACACCACCACCAACAGGGGGGCCACCTCCAGGATGAGGTCCACGATGCCTCCCCGATCTGGGAATAGGAAATGTCTCGAGCAGAAGGGGGGCTCCACACCACCAGGGGGACATCCCCTGGCTCCTCCCGCTGATGGTCCCTGGTCGTGTTGGTGCTGCGGATTCGCTATCAGGGGCCTATCGCCGATCTATCTGCAACTTATCGCCGATTCCAGGTCGATGTCTCCCCCCCTCCGGAGCTTGTCCCCCCCCCCTTCCTGGCGATGCCCTTCATTCAACGAAGGAGGCAGCAGGTCCTGGAGAAATGAGGGACTCCTGTAGGTCTTTCGCCGTTTTCGGACTCCTCCCCCAAACCCCAGGACCGTCAAACAGCGACTCGGGATGAAGATCTGACTCTGGCGAAGGGAAGGGCCCCTGCTTCCAGGAAGCGTTTCCTTTGGGGCCCGTTCCCTTCATGCCATCCTCCCCGGATCCCCTCGTGTCGCGAATAAAATTCCGACGGACGGTTCTTGAGTAATGCAGTGCATAAACATGAGAATTGGGAGCTCCGCGCGGACTTCTTGGATCGGCGCTGGAATCCCCTGGCGGCGCTTCGGGCGCCGCCCCTGGCGCGCTCCGCGCGCCAGGCAGGGGGGTCCAGCGCCGATCCAAGAAATCCGCGCGGACCTCCGACAGTTTTGGTTCATGGCTTGTTTTGCTCCTCCTTGGGAAAAGTCACGACGCAAGGTTCAGTAAATTCGGCTTTCTGGGCCCTTACCGCGTACCGGGCCCCAGGACCGCCCAGAACACAGCTCGGGATGAAAAACCTGGGCGGTCGAAGCCCTGAGGGGGGGGGGGGGGGGCACGTCACGAGAAGGAGCGCACCGTCGGAGCAGAGGGCTTTCGTTCTCTTGCTTCTCCCGCTCCTCCTGCTTCTTCTCTTCAACCTCTCCTCCTCTTCTCCGCTCCCATCATCCCCTTCCTCCTCCCTCTTCCCTCTTTCCCCCGCATCCCCCCTCACCCCTGGCGCCTCCAGCGTTCTGACTCCCTCCTCCGCTTCCTCCTCTTGTCCCGTCATGTTCCGTAAGTTGTCTAATGTGTGTTTTGTTCTGGAGGCTTCTGAAGGCCCACAGGGCCAAAACGCCGTGAGACATCGATGCTCGAGGCTTGAACTTCGACCCTTCTCCCTTGCATGATTGGTCTTATATCCCCCTCTCTGTCTCCTTCTCCTTCTTAGGTTTAGTCACACTTACTCGTAAGCTCCCCTCTTCTCTTCTGAACATTAACCGTCGGGTTTCGATCATGATTGCCGCCCGTCTTCATGATCAGTACGTATCCTATTGTGTCCCCCTTCTTCTCTGAACACAACCCTCGAAGCTTTATCATGACTGCTACTCTGCTTGTTCATTATCAGCTTCTTTCTTCTCCCTCTTCTCATTCCTTCTCTTCCTTCTTCGCCATCCTCCCCCACCGTGTTCCTCCCTTTGGTTCTCCTGCCCCTCCTCTGCCCCCCCCCCTCCCCCTCGCGATCCGAACAAGGATCCTCGAACCTCGATCCTTGTTTTCCCCCTCTCCCCCCCTGCTCTGCCCCCTTTTCTGCCGTTGTGCGTGCAGAGATTTTTCCAGACACCCCCTCCTCCTCCTCGTCCTCCTCCTCCTTCTCCTGGCACCCCGTGCCCATGGACGGTTACCTTTGTTTTATGGTGCCTCATTGCTTCACGGCCGCGCCACCTGCAGCGATTCCTGTGTTACCGCTCTGCCTGTCTTCGCAGGCGGTTTTTCTCCCCCAGTCCCCGGCTGCTTGTTCGACGAAATAAAGCCGCTTAGAAACGGAGGGGAACCCTGGGATACACCCCAAGGTGGCTAATCGCGCACACCCCTATCGAGAATGGACGCCCCCCATCGTGTATCGCAGGGTTTGGCCCCAAGTTTTTGGTCCATGCGAAAACCTCCCAAAGCTTGGGATAGGCGTCGACATATCCCGTATTATGTCATATGTCTCACCGCTCTGCCAATGCCTTGTCTCTCTCTCTCTCTGTCTCTGCCCCTTAGGTGGCCGCGGGAGCGGCGGCAGGGCCGTTTTTGTTTACGGCTTCCGAGAAAGTGCCCCTTGAACACGGACATGGTAAAATTCGGCGACCGGAAACAGCAAAAACACAGCTCCAGGATTGGAACAGGGGGCGGAACCGGGAAGAATGCGGCGACGTCTCGGGGGAAACACCGGCAAACGTACGGCACAGCAGAACCGGTAATACTACGGCCTTGGCGTTATTCTAGGGCCCACCCCACCAACTAAGCTTTGCCCCCCGCCCAATCTTGACTCGAGGGGTCTGTGTTTCCTGGGGCCATTATCAGCCACGCGCAGGGGGAGGGTGGAGGGAGGGGGGAAGGCTTCTCAAAAGCACCCCTGCTTCTTAGAAGGCGCGGGCCTTATCTATAAGACTGGCGCCTTCTAAGGAGCAGCCTCCTTCTAAGAAGCCTTCTTCCCCCCTCCATCCACCCCCTTGTGCGCGCAGCCAGCGCTCAGCTCTGCCCCCCCCTGCCCTCCTCCTCGCCGAGCCTTCAGGGTGCGTTGGCCGAGACGGCCACGCTCGTGGCTCAGGCAGGCGGGAGCTGCACCGCCTTCCAGTGCGACCACGCGGACGACAAGCGGGTGAGGGAGGTCTTCTCGCAGATCGGCGAGCAAACGGGTGGCCAGCGATCGTGTATCCCCCTGTTCGCCCCCTCCTCCCTTTTCTCTCCTTCCCTCGAGTCCTCGGAGTCGTGCGGGTGTGCCTTGCGACTCAAGGCGCTTGGGCACCGGATCTGGGGTCCGTATCTCAGCCCCGTGCGCAGGGCAGCCTTGCTACGTTGCTGTGGCTGCGCCCGTTCTAGCTGATCTGCCCTGGCCAGGGTCTCGAGTGTTGGCTCGCCTTTTGCAGGTTGGCCCTCGGACTCCAGGTTTGCCTTGTGCATGCGGTTGGGCACCACTGGTGTGTTCTGTAGGGGGAACGGTGGCCAGGGGTGGCGCGAGCCACATCTGGAGATGTATACCCTGATCTCCGACGGCACGCCTTTTGCCATCTGGGCGGCGCTCCTCGATTCCTTGGGCCCGGGGTCCGCTCTCGGGGCTCGCGGCCATCAGGCATGGGCCGGGGATGCAAAGCTACCGCCCGGGAGGGGTCGGGGCGCCTGGGGCCGCAGATTGAACGAATCATATCGGGTGATGTCTGGGTGCGTCCCAGACAACCCGAAAGGTCTCGAAGACCAGCACAGGGTTGCCTCCGAGGCCCTCAACAGAGGGTCCAGGAGGCTCCCAGGAAGCCTTCGAAGAGGGGCCCAGGAGGGGGATCTCGAACTGCTGTGTCGAGGCCTCAGCCCGAGGATTTCCTCCGAGACAGCCAGCAGACCCCCGAGAGGCCCCCTTATCGGCCCCCAACAGGCACAGACGAAGGCCTCAAGAGGCCGAGACCAGAGTACCTCCACGGCCTGGTAGAGCGATGTCCTGGGCCCCCCAAAAGGCGATGAAGTTGGATACCGCTGGGCCGACAAGGGGCCCGAAAACATCCATGTCGACTGCCTCCTTGGGCCCTGGGGACACCAGATCCCAGGGCGGTGGATGTGTGTAATTACATCTCGGCCTCGCAACAATTGTGTGTGTGTGGGTGTGCGTGTGTGGGGGGGTGGCGCGGAGGGGGGGGTACGACTGGTCTGCCTGGCACCGTGGGGGTGTTCTGTCGCGTTTGGGGGGTGGGTTTGGGGCGCGTGGGGGTGCGTCGGTCAGGGTGGCGCCGGGGGGAAGGGAGGAGTAAGGAGGGAGGAGGGAGAAGGGAGGAGGGAGGAGAGAGGAGGGAGGGGTACTTACTCAACAATTTGGAGTGCGCCTGATTGCGGCGAGTTCGTGCCGCCTCGACGCGGCGGCGACCGACGCCAGCGCGGGCGTTCAAGGTGGAGCACCCTGTTGGGGCTCGTCGTGGGCCCCGGGGTCAAGGCAGGAGCCTGCCATACACCGGTCCTGGCCAACGCCAATCTCGGGCCGGACGAAAGGGGGGGATTGGGGAAGGGGTGGTTACGAAATTTGCTGCATGCAGCTGGTTTCGGCCCCACCGATGGGCCCGTTCCTCGATACATGGGCGCCTCCGGCGCTGGGAGGCGCCGGGAAAATCAGCTACGTGAGCTGATTCTCAAACCCCCCCTTCGCTATCCCCCCTTTCGCCCGACCCGACGATCCTGGGCCTCGGGTCGGTGTACCTGTTCCAGGAGGTTCTCTGCACCGATCCTGGGCCCAGTGCGCTGGGCCTCCCAGGGGTCCGAGCAGGTGGGGTCGCGATCCTCCGACTCCATCTATTCCGACCCTCTTTGGGAGGCCCCTGAGGATAGGCCTGGCCAGGGTCGGCATCGGCCTAATGGTTGGCGTCTTCCCAGGCGGCTCCCTGAACATCTTGGTCAACAACGCCTTCAAGTTCGGAGCCGCCGACCCGGAGCTAGAGCGCGCCTTGTCGCAGGGGGCGAAGTTTTATGACATTCCTTTATCCACCTGCGCTGCCGCGCGCAGTCGCCAACGCGCCATGGCGCGGGAGAGGGAGGGCGAGGAGAAAAGATGAGGAGGCGGACGAGGAGAAGGACGCGGAGTTTCAGGACGGACCAGGGGGGCAGGATGAGAGTGGGGAAGAGGAGGAGGAGGAGGAGGAGGAGGAGGAGGAGGAGGAGGAGGAGGAGGAGGAGGAGGAGCAAGAGGGAGAAAGAGGAGGCGGAGTATAGCAGGGGAGGAGGATCAGGAGGGGGGGGGAAATGAAAGGTCCCACCGAGAGCCCTGTGTTGGGTTTCTTCGCTCTTGCAGCGGAAGGCCAAAGAGGCAAACGATTTGGAGCGAATGATGGATCCCTATCGGACTCGACGAGCAGTGGGCCCTGAAAATTGCTTCGCCAGTGGCGAGTGACGGGCGAATGAAGCACGGGAACCCACACTCTCCTCCCAATAGACCCATCAATACCACTTCCCCTTCCCCGCAGGTTTCGGGAGGTCTTCGGACGTCTCCGGAGACCTCAGAGCTCGCAGGAGGCATCTGGAGGCCGAAAAAGTTGCCAGAAGCGTCCAGAAGCAACCTCGATCCTCGATCCCCCGCTAGTCACTGACCGTTGCACATGGTGGTTTCTGAGATCCGACGTCGTGAAATGATCGCAACGTCGTGAACAAATCACGACGTCATTGTTTTTCCACACCTCTGAAGCCAGATCGAACTCTTGAAGGGGGCAGGGGGCACAGGAAGAGAAATAGTATCAATAATAGCAGTACTTGTCATACACATGGTGATAATAACAAGGAGAAGAAGACGAATAATGTTAAGACTAATCATCTCGTCGCGATTGTGCCCACGACATCCAGATCTGCGGGGTGGCGGATCGGTGTGGGACGAGATCAACGACGTGGGTCTTCGGTCCCCTGCCCCTCGCTCACACCTCCTCCATCGGCCCTCGGACCTCTCCTGGGTTGCGTTCTGGCTCTGATTTCGGGCCAGGTGTAGCTGTGGCGACGAGATGTTCTCTGGAGGTCCAAGATGGAATCACAAATGCTTCCGAACCTACATCCTCGAACTGTCTCCCCCCTCCTCTTCCTCCTCCTCCTCCTCCTCATTCTACCTCCTTCTTCTCTTCTCTCATCTCCTCTTCCCTTCTCCTCTTCCCTCCTCCCTCCCTCTTGTTTCATTCCCACCTCGGTCCCACTACGCGGCGTCTGTGTTCGCCGCGCCCATGTTGTTGAAGGCCGCGCGCTCTGGGGGCGTCCGGCCCTTGCTGTGCTTCACGTCCTCCTTCGGCGGTGCCTCGGGGTATCCTGCGGAAGCCATTGGGGTAGCGGGACTCAGACCTCCTCCTCCTTCTTCTCATCCTGCTGCTCCTCCTCCTCCTCCACCTCGCGACCTCGCGTCCTCCTCCTCGTCCTCCACCTCAGACGCTCCAACCTCTTCCTCCTCCTCCTGGCGTCCTCTTCCTCCTCTCCTTTTTCTCCTCCTCCTCCTCCTCCTCCTCCTCCTCCTCATCATCATCATCATCATCATCCTCCTCCTCCTCCTCCTCGTCCTCGCGACCACGTGCCTCTTCTCCCGCTCTTCTCGCTCCTGCTCTTGCTGCCACTGTTGCATCTCCTCCTCCTCCTCCTCCTGGCGCTGTTGCCTCGCGTGCCCTGCTGTGGCGTCAGCCCAGCCACAGACCCGCGTCCCTCAGCTACGGTCTGTCCTCCTCCTCTTCATCCTCCTTCCCCTCCTCCCTCATGATCCTCCCTTCTGCTGCTCCTCCTCCTTCTCCTCCTCCTCCTTCTCCTCCTCCTCAACCTCCTCCTCCTCCTCCTCTTCCAACGCTCCATCTATCCATCCCTCTCCTTCGCTCCGTCTTCTACTCCTACCTCTCCTCCTTCTCCTCCGTCCCCTTGCTGCTCCTCCTTTTGCCTCTCCTGCTGCTGCTGCTGCTGGTCCTCCTTCTTCCTCCTTCTCATCTCTTTCCTGCCGCGCCGCGTCCTGCTGCTGCTGCTGCTGCTGCTGCTCTTCCTCCTTCTCTTCTACCTCTGCCAGTGGAGGGAGTCCAGCAATCCCCGTCGTCCAGTCTACCCTGAGGTGTGTCCTACCTCTTCACGCCCGCATACGGCATCGGAAAGGCGGCAGTCGACCGGATGGCCAGGGACTTCCAGGTGGAGTTGAGTTGTCTCCACCCTCTGTCCCACTTCCTCCTCTCATATTCCTCCCTCCCCTCTCCATCCTCATTCTTCTTCTCATATTCCATCTCGCGTCCCCGTCCAACCCCATTCTCGTCGCACCAGAAGGCTCGTGGATTGGGACAGCCAGGCGATTGGCCTGAGAGATTCGTGTCGCGGCGCATCATTATTTCATGCAGCATTCAGCTACGCATGTCCAGCACTGAAGCGGCTGTGTGGTGGGTCGTCTTCAACATGGGGATCTCACCATAGTACCGCGTAAATCCCACTGAACGCTTTCAACAGTTATGTGGGTTGAGGGCGGCGCCTTTTCAGAATGGGTTCTCACTGTAACGCCGCGCACAGCCGTTGCAAATGTCTTCAAATGTTGCAAGGACGTAGGGGAGTGTCCTCCATATGTTCAAGTTCTTGACCATATTCTCAGAAGTGTGCAACATCTACGCGGACAGATGGGCGTCTTCTTCTCTAAATGGGTTTCTCGTGGCGGCCCAGGGTGCCCGAGCAAGGCCACGCTTTCCCAACCGCAGCGCGGTGGCGGCATGTATAACGCCACCGTGAAAGGTGGCACGGTGCTTGCGTGTTCATTCACATGCCACCCAGGAGGTGATGTTCGTCTACCCTTGAGTTCCCCTGGAAGGTTCTGTCCCGAAAGCCAGCTCCCTTGGAAAGCCATCTGCGAGGGAGGCGGAGAAGAAGGAGGAGTCAAGCGAGGGATAGCGCGGTTGCACATTGTTCCCGTGCTTTGCGGCGGCCCTCCGCGGTTTGCAAGAAAGCTCACAGGACCCATCGGCTCTGGTTGGGCGGGGGGCAGGATGCATGGTGCTCTCTCGGAGCGGAGTGCGTGAGAGGTCCTTGCAACCGAGGACCCGAGCTTGAGAGATCCAAACCATTGAAATGGAACGTGCGGACAGGTTGGTCGTCCAGCCTTCCCTGAGCTTCAGGCGTCCGTCAATAGATGGAGGGAGTTTGGCTGACATTGTGTGTTTGCCGTGTGAACTACCGTTTTGGGCTGCCAGATCGCCCTGGGGTAATGGATGGCTATAGAGCCAATAGGAGCCAATATTGGAGGAGAAGGAGGTGGAGGAGGAGGACGAGGGTGAGGAGGAGGAGGAGAAGGACGATGATGATGATGATGATGAGGAGGATGAGGATGAGGATGAGGATGAGGATGATGATGATGATGGTGATGATGATGATGATGATGATGATGATGATGATGATGATGATGATGATGATGATGATGACGATGATGATGATGATGACGATGATGACGATGAATGATGATGATGATGATGATGATGATGATGATGATGA